TTGCAATCTCAGTTTCTTGCTTGTTCTTCGTTTGCTCGCAGGAAACAGACCATCGTGGTCAGGTTGATCGTGCTCCGGCGTGGTCAATAACCCTCGGAAGTTGGTTTAACGATTGCTAAGGCGCGACGTCACGCACATTCGTAGTCGGATCGTCAAGGTCGACTCCCACAGAAAACGATAGCCACCATCTCACCGAAACATCGGGACACCTTTGCCTCTATCACATAGTCAAAGGAATATGTATAAGTCATGAAGAAAGCAATAGCAATAAAACTTAACGGTCATTATGCTAAGCTAATGGATGGGTCTTGTGCATCACATCATTCTCCTAACGATGTGATACCGTTCATCAAATGACAACACATGTCGATGGTTAGGAAACTTAATCATCTTTGATTAACGAGCTAGTCTAGTAGAGGCATACTAGGGACACTGTGTTTTGTTTATGTATTCACACATGTATCAAGTTTCCGGTTAATACAATTCTAGCATGAATAATAAACATTTATCATGATATAAGGATATATATATATATATATATATATATATATATATATATATATATATATATACATAAACACTATTCTGATCACGGGATCAGAATAATATTCTGATCACAACATGAACTTCCCGAGTAACGCGCCTGACCTCCCCCGAGTACTAGGTTGAACTTCAGCTAAAAGGTATCCAAATGGGGCTTGCGATATACCGTTGGATAGCTATGGACATCAGTATCATGACCCAAGTTAAATTTTTGGCAAAATGTAAGCAGTTTAAGAGCAGTTTTGAAAATTGTTTTTTCTTCATATAAAAAACGTGAATCGTATTTTCGATCGCATTTTTAAACCGTTTATTGGAATGAGGCAAATAATATGGCGTTGGAAAGCTGCTGCAAAACCGCTCCTTCCACATGTTGAAAGTTTTCTCTAATTCCCTACGGTTAAAGAGTAATTCAGAAAATCGTAAAATTTCACAAACCGAACACCCGAGTTCGTATTTTCGATGCCATTTCTAACGGCTAATCCAATTGAGGCAAATAATATGGCGTTGGAAAGCTTATGAAAATGCGCTACTTTTTATGTTAAAAGTTTTTTCTAATTTTAAATGGTTTAAAAGTAATTTAAAAAACGGTACAAGTTCCACCGAGTTCGTATTTTTGAGCTAATTTTTTAACCGTACGTCCAAAATCAGCAAATGATATGGCGTTGGAAAGCTTCAAGAAATGCGAAACTTTTTTGTATATATTGTTTCTCCCAATTTATTACGGTTTTATGTCAGTTTTGAAAATGGTTAAAAACATATTTTTGCCGTAATTTCTACAAACTTTATCGGAATGGGGCAAATAATATACCGCTGAAAAGCTACAGAAAATGCAAAACTTTTTCATGTTGATGGTTTTCTGTGATTCCTTGCCGTTTTCAAATAATTTCGGAAATGGCGAGATCGTTCATTCTGTCTTTATCGCGAAACAGATTCTTAAAAAATGCACCACGTGAAGAACCTGAACTTCTCGGCGCGTGTACCTGAACTTCACTCTGTTTTTCACGTGATTTTTTTGCCCGTAGCTCTCCATCCATTGCTCGTAGCTCTCCATCCACTCACCAGAATTGAGCAAGTGATATACCGATGGAAAGCTGCTGTAAACACGCAACTTTCCCGTGTTGATCATTTTTTCATACTCGCGACAATTTTAAAAGTTTTTCATCTCCAATTCATTCACTATAGTAGTCGAACTTCGTGTTGTTTTCACGTTGAACTTCTGTGATGTATTTTCGTTTTTAATTTTCCCATCCATTTGTCAGTGTTACATGAATGATATTATTTATGTACAAACCTCTGTCACGATAATTTTTTTAATTTCTCGGACGAGGACTTGAACTTGCACAAATGCTATTCCTGTTGTTTTGAAGTAAATTAGAAAATGACGAGATCATAATTTCTGCCTTGGAAATGCACTGTGTGAAGTAGTTGAACTTCCCGCGCACGTCTGTTTGAACTTCACTCTGTTTATGACGTGATGTTTTTGCATGTAACTCCCAAACCACTTACCGGAATTGAGCAAATGATATGCCGATGGAAAGTTGTTGCAAACACACAACTTTTTCGTGTTGTTCAATTTTTCATACTCGCGGCGGTTCAAAATATTTTTTTGAATGCGTAAAAATGTGTTTTTAACGGTATACATAAAACTTTTAACCATTCATCGGAATATAGCATATAATATACCATTGGAAAGCTTATGAATAGGAGCATCTTTTTCATGTTGACACACGTTACAAATTTTTATTGTTTAAGAGCAGTTTTATAAATGGAAAAAACAACATCATTTTTTGCCTGTTTTTTATATATAATTGAAGGTCGGACGTTTCGCACTAGAGATCTTGAACTTCACCGGGAGGAGCACATGAACTTCTCGCAACAAATCTTTTAAGCTTTTTGTTTTCTATTCTGATATTCCTATCTGAAACGCATTTTGTGTAGTTGTTGAACTACCCGCTGTTTTCATCTTGAACTTCTGTCACGTATTTTTGTTCAACCTCTCTCACAAGAATTTTTGAACTTTCTCGGGCCGAGCACTTTAACTTCTAGCAACAAAATTTTGTGCTTCGCCTTTTTTATATTTTTTTCTTATACGAAACATGCACCATGCAGTACATGAACTTCTGGCTATTATCCATTTGAACTTCTCTCTATTTCAATTTAGTAATGAAAAAAATTCTGATTTGTATAGACATCGAACCGCTCTAACTTTTTTATTTGAACTTCTTTTGTGTATTTTTAGAAATGTGAAGATTGAAGTTTTGTTAGAAACATCAAACTTCTTTGTTATTTCAAATTGAACTTATTGGTTTTATTATTTAGTAACTTGAAAAATCTGATTTATCAAATAAATATCCAACTGCTCCGCTTTTTTCCATTTGAACTTCTTGGTTTATTCTCAAGTAACAACAAGAACTGAGTATTTTATATACATCGAACTACTCCTTTTTTAAAATTGAACTTCTTAGTTTTAATATTTAGTATTAGGGAAAATATGAGCTTTTATAAACATCAAACAACTTCATTTTTTTAATTAGGACTTCTTGGTGTTACTCATTAGTAACGGGAAAAGTCCTAGTTATACAAAAATAAACAATTTAAACCAAATTGTATCATTAGAAACTTATTGGAAAGCATTTCTTTAAACAAAATCATGACGGGTTAAGAGCATCGTCTTTTCAACACGATAAAAACTTGTTTTGAACGATATACAGAAAACATTCAAATTATATTATGGGAATAATGCGTATGATATATGGAAAACTTATGTTTTAGAAGACATTTTTCATGTAGACAATGTTTTCAAATTCGTTGCGATTTCATGGGTTGTTTTGAAAATCCCAAAAAATGGCATCGATTTTTTTAACTTGTAAATTCTAGGTTTGTATAACTTTGAACTTCACTATTATTTTAATTTGTACTTCTTAATTTATTTTTAGAAAACAAAAAAATCAATCTTTTAAGTAAACATCGAACAACTTTGTTCTTGAATTGAATTAAATACTTTTTTCTAGAAACAAGAATAATCTGAGTTTTTTTAATACATCGAGTTGCTCAGTTACTTTAATTTGAAGTTTTGTGTTTTATTCTTTTAATGATGAGAAAAATCTGATTTTTTATAAACATCGAACTTCGCCATTTTTTAAGTTTGAACTTCTTAGTTTTTGGTTAGTTACAGGAAATTTTCTTTTTTATATAAACATGGAACCGCTTCGTTATTCTAATTTGAACTTATAAGTTTTAGGAGGAGAAATCATTTTTATAAACTTTTTTTAACTATTCTGTTTTTTTATTTGAAGCTGTTTTTGAACTTCTTCCTCAATTATTATTTTTGAGCTTCTAGGTATGTATTTTTTGAACTGCTATATGAACTTCTTGATTTTTGAAATAAATAACAAACTAATCCATTATTTAAATTTCAACCTATAGGGTATTTTTTTTAAACAGGGAAAATCCATTTGGGGAAGAGGGTCACATGACCATCTTCACCATGCGGGGTATGCAACGACCTGCACGGAGGCGTGCTCACTGGTCCTCTGTAAGGCGACCAGCTTTGGCGCGCGCACACACACATGAGTGTGCGCACGGGGATTATTCTGAAGCTTTTGGATGGAGTCAAACAAAACTGATTTCACGGTACAAATATAGAGAGCAGAACACCGGCACTAGAATGTGAGATTTGGGAAAGACTTGAACACCAGCAGGCTAGCGGCAACGCATGCACATTTTTAGGAGTGAGTAAACGCTTGATCAATGCTTCGCAGAAACATCATACAAACAAGTATGAGGGCTGGACTGATCAAAAATTCAGGTTTGGGAAGCAAGTTGTGTTGTTGGGTAAGAAGGGATACATAATTCCGAACTGAAAGTGTTCGTTTTGCTTCAGGCAGTATTTCTTTCAGATTTAGTATAAAGACTCAGTAAGGATTCATGGAATTAGCAATATTGTAGCAAGAATACTCAGCATGGCTTGTGTAGATTCAGCAAACGAAAACCATACATGCAGGACTATGAACTAATGTAGATGAATGACAAATAGTAGAACATATTTGAATTCTTGGCATGGAAGGTCAACTTTGTTCTGCTCTCTAGAGCCTGAAGCTAGCCAACACACGTCCAGCAAGCCCACAAGCACACACGTCCAGTATCCAGCAGCAGCAAGGAACACAAACCACCTCGAAGAAAAGTGCATAGTCGTAGTAGGACTTGGCGTATGGTTGTTGTAGAACTTCATGCGACGTCTCTGAACATCTCAATGGTTGTAAAAGGGGAAAATGAGAATTCTTTCAGTAAATTAGATACACCCTGCAGTTTTGTCAAGATTATTAAATTCACTTAGCACATTTTTCACATGAGCAACACATCCATATGTAGGAGCACGTCTGAGAGACCGGTGCAAATCGGCAGCTAGTTCAAAGAGAAGAAAAAAAAAGCTAAACAGAGACAACCGTAGTTGCTAGATGTCATTTGAAATGGGGCGGCTGAAGCTGATTTGCGAGGAGAAGCTATGCGAGTACATCCACATCGGCACGGCGGCGAACATTTTGGCACTGGTCGAGCAACACTGCTGTGAGGGCCTAAAGAAGGCATGCTTCGATTTTTTCGCTGCTCCAGAAAATTTGAAGGCCGTCGCAGTCACTCACAGCTTCCAGCATCTGAGCGTGAGTTGCCCTTCTCTTATGGTCGAGCTCGTGGCCATGTTCCCCGTGCATTAGCTGAGTGATGGATGATACTTATCAGTGTTCCACTGTTCTAGCAACAGTGAATCATGGTTTCTAGACTAATGTAGTAATCAGGTAGCCGTCTTTGTGTATCGCTGCATCTATCTGAGTTAACAACCGAGAAGCTGCATACGTGAGAGGATTTTCAGGGGAGCACTACACACACTGTTTTGGAGAGGCACCTGGGATGCCACCAAGCACCGTGCACGGCAGCAGAGGAGACGTGCGGGGAAGGTCAGAGAGAGATGACGGGGAAGGTCAGAGAGAGTTGACGGGTACGGTCGCTCACCGTGGCTGCTTACGGTGATTCGGGAAGAGGCTCGGGGGGAGGAGCACGGGAGATGGACATGTAGTGGACCTCCAACTTGGATCTTGGTGTTGCGGCGGCGCGCAACTGGTCAAGGCCGACGGTGTACAGGGAGATGAGCGGCGCCGCGGCAGCGCCCAGGTGGTCGGGGCCGGCGGTGCGCAAGGATCCAGGCCGGCGGCGGGCAGCGACGCGCAGGTGGTCGGGGCAGCGGTGTGCAGGTGGTCGCGGTCGGACGGACGATAGGGGCGGCGGTTGGGGCGTGGAGCGGTGAGTTCGGCAGTAGCATGGGGAGGGCGGCGGCGCGAGTTGTTGGTGGCCGGCGGCGGCGCGGGATGCTGGTGGGGGGCGGCGACGGCCCTGGTTCCTGGTGTGGCCGCAGCGTAGGGCAGCGGGGGCCGCGGTGCTGCAGGAGGGCGGGGGTCGCGGCGGCGAGTGGCAACTGGAGGTGGAGATCAGGCGGCGCGTGGGAGATGGGGGACGGGTTTTTTTAGTATGCACCGGTTGGGAGTTCGGGAGATTCACGTCGCGCCTGTATAGGGATGCTATGATCAGAATAGTTATTCTAATACCATGATCATAATAATGTTGTCATATATATATATATAACAATTTTATTATTGCCTCTAGGGCATATTTCCTTCAGGATTCAGGAGCTGTCCGGTAGTACCTGCATATTTATCCAGAATGCTCCCAACAAGAGTAGCTTCTTCAACATTTGCTTTAAAGAACAAGAGTGTATCATCAGCGAATAAGAGATGAGATATACCCGGGGCTCTCCTTGTGATTTTTATTGGCGATAACCTTCCATCCTCAATGCTCTGATTGATAAGTGCAGAGAGGCCATCAGCAACAAATAGGAACAAATAAGGGGATACTGGATCACTTTGCCGAAGACCACGCGATGGTGCAAACGAATCCAAGATAGCTCCATTGAAATTTACAGAGTATCTAACCGAGGTCACACATGTCATTATCCAGTCAACCCAACGGCGAGCGAAGCCAAGTTTTTGCATCATCTTCTTAAGGTAATTCCAATCCACTTTATCATAAGCCTTAGATAGATCTACTTTGTAAGCACAAAAACTCTTTGTAGGGTCCTTTTCTTGTTTTATGTGGTGAATACATTCAAAAGCAACAAAGGCATTATCAATTATCATCCTGATACGTCTCCAACCTATTTATAATTTATGAAGTATTCATTCCAATATATTATCATTCTTGGATGTTTTAAAATTATTTTATAGCAACTTTATATCATTTTTTGGGACAAACCTATTGACATAGTGCCCAATGCCAGTTGCTGTTTTTTTGCTAGTTTTTTACATCGCAGAAAATCAATATTAAACAGAGTCCAAACACCGAGAAACTTTTTGTGGATTTTTTATGGACCGGAAGACTACCGATGGGCCAAAGCAGCACCTGGGGGTGCCCGCGGGGGGCACAACCCACCAGAGCGCGCCAAAGCCCCCTGGCGCGCCCAGGTGGGTTGTGCCCACCTCGGTGGCCTCCCGTACCCCTTCTTTGCACTATAAATTCCCAAATATTCTGAAACCCCTCGGGGTTAACTTAGATCAGAAGTTCCACCGCCGCAAGGCTCTGTAGCCACCGAAAACCAATCTGGACCCTTTCTGGCACCCTACCGGAGGGGGAAATCATCTCCGGTGGCCATCTTCATCATCCGACGGCCACCACGATGAGGAGGGAATAGTCCACCCTTGGGGTTGAGGGTTTGTACCAGTAGCTATGTGTTTAATCTCTCTCTCTCGTGTTCTTGAGATGTCATGATCTTGATGTATCGCGGGCTTTGTTAATATAGTTGGATCGTATGGTGTTTTCCTGTCTCTATCTTGTTGTGATGAATTGAGTTTTTCCCTTTGAGATTTTGTTGTTATCGGATTGAATACTTTTATGGATTTGAGAACACTTGATATATGTATTGCAGTTGAATACTCATGGTGACAATGGGGTATCGTATTGATTCACTTGATATATGTTTTGGCACTCAACTCGCGGCTTCCTGAGGTGACATTGGGGTAATCTATGCATAGGGGTTGATGCACGTTCTTGTCTTTGTTTCATGCATAGGGGTTGATGCACGTTCTTGTCTTTGTTTCTCCGGTAGAAATCTTTGGGCACTCTTTGAGGTTCTTTGTGATGGATTGAGTATTACGAATCTGAAATTATTTGGTGTTATTTTAGTGCGAACTCTTGGATAGATCGATCAGAAAAAATAGCTTCAAGGTGGTTTCGTATCCTACAAACGATTTCTTCTTATGTTCTCCGCTAGATAGGAACTTTGGAGTGATTCTTCATCGCACTTTGAGGGGTGGTTATATGATCCAATTATATTAGCACTGTTCAGAGATTGCACTAGCGAAAGTACGGACCCTATGCCTCATTTTCAAGCATTGCAATACCGTTTTTGTGCCCGTTTACTATTTGCTACCTTGCTTTTTTATTTATTCATATTATAATAATATATTTCTACCATCCATATTACACTTTTATCACCATCTCTTCGCCGAACTAGTGCACCTATACAATTTGCCATTGTATTGGGTGTGTTGGGGACACAAGAGATTTCTTGTATGTGGTTTGCAGGGTCGTTTGAGAGAGACCATCTTCATCCTACACCTCTCACGGATTGATAAACCTTAGGTCATCCACTTGAGGGGAAATTGCTACTGTCCTACAAATCTCTACGCTTGGAGGCCCAACACGTGTCTACAAGAATAAAGTTGCATAGTAGACATCAAGCTCTTTTCTGGCACCGTTGCCGGGGAGGTGAGTGCTTGAAGGTATATCTTTAGATCTTGCAATCGAATCTTTTAGTTTTTTGTTTATCACTAGTTTGGTTTATAAAAGAAAACTACACAAAAAATGGAATGAGGTTGCATCATATTATTGATCGTCTTTATAATATCTTTCTTGAAAATGATGGTTTGATAAATTGTGCTCAATTGTTAGAAGAAGAAGTCAATAAAATGTTTGGCACAAAATATTTGAATGATGAGCATGATTGCAATGTTTTTAGTATGAATTCTTTGAATATATGTGATGCTAATGATATGCAAAGCCATAAGCTTGGGGATGCTATATTTGATGAATATGATATTTTTAGTCCCCCAAGTTTTGATGAAAAAATTTATTATGATGATTGTATGCCTCCTATTTATGATGATTATATTGATGAAAGTGGATTTGGAGAGGTCGTGACTTTATTTAATGATGAATCCACTATTTTGGATGAGGCTTCAATTGAATATGATAACAAAGTTGCTATCTATGATGATTATGGTGATGACATGTATGCTATAAAGAATAATGATAACCACGAAACTTGTCATCATGATTTTAATTTTCACTCTCATGATAGTTATTTTGCTGACTTTGCTCCCACTACTATTGATGAGAAGAAATTTGCGTATGTGGAGAGTAATAAGTGTTCTATGCTAGGAATGCTTTATGTGATAGCTATATTGTTGAATTTCTTCATGATGCTACTGAAAATTATTATGAGGGAGGAACTTATGCTTGTAGGAATTGCAATAATATCAAGTTTCCTCTCTATGTGTTGAAAATTTTGAAGTTGTGCTTGTTTTGCCTTCCTATGCTAGTTGATTCTTGTTCCCATAAATTGTTTGCTCACAAAATTCCTATGCATAAGAAGTGTGTTAGACTTAAATGTGCTCATCATATGCTTGATGATGCTCTCTTTGTGTTTCAATTCTTATCTTTTATGCGAGTATCATTGAAATCACCATGCCTAGCTAAAAGGCATTAAACAAAAGCGCTTGTTGGGAGACAACCCAAAACTTTTACCTACTGTTTTTGTGTGTTCACATGATTAGGCTATTGTAGTAATCATATTTTATTGCTTTCATTTTAATAAAGTGCCAAGTAATACCTTTGGGATGGCTTACGGTGATAGTTGATTTGATCTTGCTGAAAAACAGAAACTTTTGTGCTCAGGAAAACAATTCTCATTTTTAACACAAGCGTGATAAAATGCTGATTCTTTTTGCAGAAGATTAATAGAAAAATTTCCCAGGTTTTCCGATTTTTTTCAGAATGTTTGGAGTACCAAAAATATGGTTGGAGTACAGATTACTACAGACTGTTCTGTTTTTGACAGATTCTGTTTTCAATGCATATTTTGCTTGTTTTCTAGTTTCTATGCTTATATTGCTCAATATAAATTGTGGAAATGATATGCTACAGTAGGCATTGTATGGAAACAATTATGAATCTTGTATTTTACAGTACCAAAGTGAAATGGTTTGCTCTTTATCATACTAACCTATCTCACGAAGTTCCGTTAAGTTTTGTGTGATTGAAGTTTTCAAGTTTTGGGTGAGATGTCGATATGATGAGAATAAGGAGTGACAAGACCCTAAGCTTGGGGATGCCCAAGGCACCCCAAGATAATATCCAAGGAATATCCAAGCAACTAAGCTTGGGGATGCCCCGGAAGGCATCCCCTCTTTCGTCTTCAACATTATCTGTAACCTCACTTGGAGCTATGTTTTCATTCGTCACAAGATATGTGTTTTTCTTGGAGAATCATTTTATTTTGTTAGTATTTGCTATCTGTTATTTAGAATAATGTTTTGCAACTTTTATTTCAATAAAAGTGACATTGATAGCCTTTACTATGCTTATTTTACAAGTCTACATGTTGCTG